TCGCGTTTTTTCTATAAGTTTACAGTGTAAAATAGTCACCTGTCCCGCGCGGCCGCGGCCACCATATTTTATCACACAACCCCTAGATCTATCACACCAAGAAACAACACCTGTCTCAGACGGTCACCTGTCATGGCCCGAAGTTTTGTCATGTTACGTAGGCCCCTCCCACTGTTGAATAGGCATGGAGGTCAATTATGCAGCAGTAGTTGTTGTTGTAAGATACTTGCCGAAAGGTAACAACATGTGATTGTCTTGGACAGGTGGCCCTTAGAGCAGGATCTACAAAGATAACAATAACACGGGCCGGTTTTGCCACGCGGGCCAGTTTGCGGCGGCTGATAATAGATCTAGAACCTTGACCCACTTTCCTCTGGTGCGAACTGACTTGCTTGCCTCTTTGATTAGACTAAAAAAAGTAATTCCCTCTCTTCTCTCCTCTCTCTCTCTCTCTCTCTCTCTTGGGCCGGTCTTGCTCTCTCTCCCCATCGCTGGTTGGTTGACCGCCCGCCAGCCGCGCTGTTTTTTCCACTGCTTGCTAGGGCTGGGCAATGAGTCGCTTTAGCAAAATCTGGATAATATGTTAGTGCACCTCTTCGGGAAATATTATGTTATGAATTGGTTCGGCAAACGGGTTAGAACCACTCGGACAAACGGGTTAGCATCACTTCAACAAATGGTTGCATCCGATTAGGCAAACTGGTCAGGAAAGAGAATTAATAGTCTGAATTCGGATAATGTAGCTGTTGTGGATTATCCGGTTGTCCGGATAATTATCCGGATTTTGCCCACCTCCACAGCGCGCCCACCGATCTTTCTCGCTTTGGCCTTGTTCTTCTCCCTCCCTCTCTCTCTTCACTCGTCCCAACTGCTGTTGCCGTGCTCGTTGTGCGTTGTTGCTGTCTTCCTTCACTTCCACTCTCCTCAACCAGCAGACTCCACGCAGGCAAGGTGAGAATATTAGTTAGGCCTATAGATCTCTCGGTCGTTGTCTGATCTTGTAGTTGAATATTTAACGGTCTTTTCATAACATGACGTACTGAATTGACTTGTGTTATTATGGGGTGCCCCAGCAGATCGGGCCGATCTCCCGACTCGATCGCCTCAAAAGAAAACAAACGTGTTTGTTTTCAGTTTCAGGCAGGCGATGGAGTCAGACGATCGGCCCGATCCAGTCGTAGTGGGCACCCCGTATAATTTTGACTGGATATCTAGAGTCAAAATCTAGATCTAAGTGTGAGATGAATTGTTAAGACAAAATTTAAGCTAGATTCTATGTATCATTGCTTGCTAGATCTAGATTTCTGCATGACCAGTGAGTCTACATTTGTTTCGAATATTGCCGGACCTGACTGAATGTGCAGCTCTCATAATAAATAGGCCTTAAGACTGGACAGGGCAAAATACAAACATGGGCAAAAAGGGGTTCTGTTTTGGCCGATTGGTTGGTCAGGTGTGACTTAACATAGGCCTAGCCTTCACACTTTCCTTGACTATATAAATGATATGTATCTATCCCTTTTAAAAGCTTTCTGTATTTTAATTTGGTATTTTTTTACTTTCCCTCCCGTCTCACACTCAGCTACCAATTGTCTATTTTCTACTAAATATTGATGCGCTGAACACGAATA